GAACAATTGGAGATTTGGGCATTGATTACTTCTTTGTACCGGTGTGCAATTTCATTAATAGCCAAACTGAAATGCTTTCGACACATCCTCATTACATTATATTACGTATTTTTTAATTTTCTTTTTAAATAATTATGTCGATTGATAGTAACCATAAAGCGATGTTTAACGATTTAAATTCGATTCGGCCGCAAACACTTGCATGCAGGTCAATCTCATGACAACCTTCTAGCATAGTGTCTAAACTATGGGTTCATTGATTACGTGTGTTTTATATTTAATAACTTTCAATTTTGATTGTAGTAAATATTTTATCTGTAAAATAAAACCATCTAATTAAACAAGCTAATATAAAATTTTATTATTATTTTGAAATTGTTTTAATTACTCAAAATGTTTAGTACAAAGTGACATTAATAATCGGGCCCCCAATGAAAATATCAGGAAACGTAGGGGCCACTCACTCAACTGACGTCCAATCCAAGCCCAACTAGAAAAAGCAAATAGAAGAAGGGGTAAATTAAAACCGCACCCTGAGGTAATGTTTATTTATAAAAAGAACCCCTCATGTTTCTATATTCACACTCACCCCTGCAATTTGTAGATTTCGTACATTAACACTCTTTTGTAACTGCAAACTTCGAGGGGTGAATGTAATTTCTCAAAAAGAAGGTTTTTTATTTGTAATTATCATTTACTTCAGGAGGTGGTTTTAAGTTACCCTAGAAGATATAAAATTCAAATATGTCACGATCATATGAGTTATTACTTATTAGTATTAACAAAATCCTCATATAATGAATCTTTAAAACACAATTTTTTAGATGATGAGTTTTTTAAGTATTGTTTATTTAAAAAAGTTGCATAGATGGGCTTTTTTGATATAAAAATAATAGGATAATTTTTTTTAACAATTAGAGTAATAATACAAAGATCTTGAATGCATTAAACTCATTTTAATAGTTAGTTTGGATTTTTTTTTTCTTATTTTATATGATGTATTACTTTATAATTGCAATAATGAATTAATACTGATTTCTTAAAGAGAATAAACTGTATCTAATAAAATTAACGAGAAGGGTATTGTTGTCCATCAATATACGATATTCACTTAGAATCTTATATTAAGGGAATCCTAGTTGCAACACAATTCAATGAACTTGAAGATTTTTTCCTTGTCACTTTTGTCTTTTCTCGTGCTGGTCACGTGTGATGATGGAGAAAAGAAAAAACAAACAAATTGATAATAATTTCCGTGTCTGTAATTATTAAGGGAGTGTTTTGAAAATTATTATTATTTGATTTAGTCCGTGGGGCTTCCGTCTTCCTCAAGTCACCTTGGTCCGTACTCCGGTGAGGGTACCTGCAACGCCGGGAGGGGTTCCCGGCGGGAGAGCTCCGACGATCAAGTCAGTGATCGGAAAAGATGAGTATGTATATAATGTAGCAATAGATAATGTATTTTTGTGTGTGTATGTGTTTAATGATCCTTCTATTTATAGATGAGGAAACCTTGGCCTCCAAGGTTTCCTTTTTTAGGGTTTGCTCCCCCCTCAAGTCAAGTGTTTGGGCCTCTCTTATTGGGCCTGCTTTAGGTCATGCTTATACTGGAATACGAGTCATGGTGTTGCCAGCTCGTCGTTCGGAGGTCGTCGTCCGACATCGTGTTTTATAATAGTAATTTGGCTCTTCTCAACTTGTATTTACTCGTCTCGTCATAATGGCCCGTATCAACTACTCCCCCCTACTCCTTATTTATAAGACGAGTTCGCTTTTCCTTACCTCATTTTATAAGTACGGAGTACGAGGTGTGAGTTCGGACTTCGGTTCATGTATGGTTGATGCACGCAACCCTTCCCCTTTTTCCTCCATTAATTATTCTGACATCCCGTGTGGTCGATTCGAGTTCCCTAGGTCATCATGGAGAAATTTCAATCAGTGCTTTTTGCGCCGGATTCGAGACGCTCTGCATTAAATCTCGTCCGCCCGAATAAACGGTTATGATTGATTTCCCCTCTTTCCTAGGTCATTACTGAGGAATTCCAATCGGCGCTTCTTGCACCGGATTCGAGACGACCTACTTTGAATCTCGTCCGTCCGAATAGACGGTTACGATCGAGTTTTCCTCTTTTCCTCCTTCTATAAGTATCTGACCCCTGCCATTTTTCTAAAAAAATTTCTTTTCCCACCCTCGTGCTTTCTCTTCTATTATTATTTCTTCTCCGGCATCTGAAGAAATCACAATCACAAAAATCAGTCATTTTTTTTTTTTTTTATTCTTATTAGATATAAGACTAACTCTTTCAAGCATTAACACTCTTTTATCATATTATTAAGAGTGAGTTACACTGACCTTTGAGTTAAGGTCAAATTATAAAAAAAATTTGGGTAATTATAACAATTTTCTCAACTATAAATCTTCTTATACGTTTATTCTTATGGTATCCAATTTAATATAATCTTCTAAATTACGTGCGATATTCTCCAGGTTGTACACATTTTATCCCATTCGAGCTCCACATTTTGAAACAAGATGATCATAAGATGTGTCTTTTGACTTGTAAATATTAGATTGTGGTGCATCAAAAGCTGGATTTTTGCACAACACGAGTACAAACTAGAGAACATTCCACGAAATCTAGAAGATTCTGTTGAATTTTTTACACCATAGATTTGGACGTGTAGGAAGATTCGTAGTAATGGGTGATTGTAATTACCCAGACGTGGAGGGTTTTTTCGTAATTTACTCTATTATTAAACAATCTAATAGAACCGGTCTAAAACGTTATAAGCTCAATAGGCGGTGACAATTACAAGTTTAGGCCCACATTGTCCTCTAATAATGAACGCCACTTGCATTTATTTAAACTTATTGAGTTTAATTAGCCTAAGCTCATGATTTACTTTGAAGATTAGAGGTAATTCTTGATCAATTTTTACTGATCACATTTTTCGAATCTCCTTTGGGTTTTTTCTCTCGATTCGAAGGCTGACTTGAGCGTCTGTGGATTGTCGCCTAGACCAAGCCCCGATGCACTGATATTTGTTTGTGACACATATAAACAATCCACACGCATTTTGACCATATGATTACAAACAACATAATTATTAGAAATGTTTGATGATAAAAAAAGAAAATTAAAAAAATCATTAGCAATGTTTGTAAAAGAAAAGGCAATAACCAACCAAAAGACAATAGATGCAAAGGGGTATTCACCCCTTTTTCCCACTCCACACCAAAAACATAAAATTTAAATTAAATTATTAAATTACTAGTATTATTTATTTATTACCTACTTGAAAGAACAAAGTCAAGATCTTTGGTCTTTTCTATAAGTGGGAATTTAATTGGGCTTTGCCACGTGTAATTACAATCCAGCATGGCACTATTTTATTTAATATTATATTAATGACAAGTTGGAAAAGTGAGGTGCTACAAAGGGATTAGGATTACACATAGGATAAAAGGGCGGGAGAGCCAAGTGTTTGTCAGGCGCTTCTGATCTCAAAAGGCCAATTTAAATTTATTTCCAAATGACCCCTTTCCAATTTGCCCTCCACCTCCTTATCCAAATTCCCTGTCAGCATTTTAGAACCTTTAAAAATCTTCCATTTATTTATTTGGACATATTGAAACGTTCCAAGGGCATTTCGGACATTTTCTTGATGTCAAAAGCTGAAATTGTAATACAAACAACAGATACTATTTGTGGCACAATTAAAAAAATTAAATCTAATCTATGCCCTCTAAGTTTTGATAATTAATTTGATAACCATGATTGGAATATATGGATTTTAAGTATATATCAAATTATTATCTCAAATATTTGATAATAAAGAGGGTGTTTGGCTAAACTTATAAGCTGGTAAATGAAATTAATAAGATGTTTAAGAGCTTATAAGCTCTTTAAAAGTGTTTGATAATTTTGTTTTAAAAAAACTTAAAAATTCAAAAATAAGTTGGTCGAGAGTAAATAAGATATTTTTACTAAAAAGTTATTCTACTCCACTATTTTATTTAAGATTATTATAAAAATAGCTTATTAGCTCATTATCCAAACACTTTAAAAATTAATTCTAGAATTAAGACGTAACAACTTTTTAGCCCCTAAAAAAACCTTATTAAGACGCAAAAACTTTTCAACTGTTTAAAATAAGGTTAGCCAAACCGACTCTAAGAGGGTGTTTGGCTAAGCTTATTTTAAACAACTGATAAGCTCTAACGTCTGATAAGATGTTTTAAGAGCTAATAAGCTGTTATATCTTATTTTTAGGATTACTTTTTAGAGTGTTTGTATAATGAGCTTATTTCCTGTTTTTACTCATTATAAGATCTTAAATAAAAAGGTGGGGTAAATGTACTTATTTAAAAAGATCTTATTTGCTCTCCAACAACTTATTTTTAAAAAAATTAAGATCTTTTTTTAAAAAATTACCAAACACTTTGGAAGAGCTTATAAGCTCTAAAACATCTTATAAGCTCATTTTAACATCTCATAAGCTTAGCCAAACACCATCTAAGTCTTCATATTTACCATTGGAGTTGCTATTAGAATGCCTAAATTACACAAGTTACGATATTATTAGTTAGTTTTTGTCTAACTAAATTATTGAAAAAAGGTAAGAGATTTCACCAATATATAATACAAGGAAAAAATTTGATACTAGTGATACTCTTATTGTAACAATATTAATTAGAAGTATTAATTACTATTATCATTGTATAACCCAAGTAAGAAATAAAATAAAACTTGTTGATTTACTACCAAATTAAACATAAAAAACCGCAAGTTAGTTTTTGTCTTTGACCAAATTACCCCACATCATCAGTTGCAACGCACGCTTTGACGAGCGCGTGGTGGGATCCATGAAGCGGGTCGATGTTTGGGTTTCCGGGTCGGATCTGCCAGCCTTTTAATTTTTAAACATTTTCGAAATTCGTGGCGTTTATAAATACAGGAACACGCTGCATGTTCGTTCCCTCATCACAATCAACTCCGTCCCATTTTACCATTACCAACCGCAAACGCGTTTTGCAACAATTGTTTTAATTAATTACCCAGAACAAAATCAAGTGATTTTCTCCGATAATCATGGTGCAATTGAAGAAGAAACTTTCCGCCCAGAGGAGGGTGAAATCAATTCCTCCGATCGCCGGCGCCGTCGAAATGCCGGAGACCGACATCCTCGTCATCACCTCCGACGGCGTCCGCATCCCTGCGCACTCTAAGATATTGGTACTGCTTCTTCTCTCGACAATTTAATTTTGTTTTTCCTCTTCGATTTTGATTCTGTTTGATGAAGGAAGATTAGATTTTGGCGTTTATTTTTTCTGATTTTTTTTGGGAAAATTAATTATTTTTAACAGGCTTCAGCGACGCCGGTGCTGGAGAACATTATAGAGACGCCGCAGAAACACCGGAGCACCGCCGCGAAGAAAATCTCGATTCCCGGCGTACCGTACGACGCCGTCGCCGCCTTCATCCAGTTCCTTTATTCCTCCAAGTGAGTATTCCTTTGCAATCCAGACGTGGAAACACCAACCGTATTTTTTTATTTAATTTTCTATTTTTTTATTTTAAAATCATTAAAATATTCGTTTTCCAATTTTTTTCTAATTTAATCATTAAAAATATTCATTGCTTCTTCCAAATCTCAAGCATCAAATTTCATTTATGAAAAAAAAAAAAAAAAAAAGAAAAATCGGCTGTACCTGACCAATTAAGAATGAGAAATAGATATTGGCCTTTGATTCAATACCAGCCGTCCATTTCCAATCCTTCTTACACGTGTCATCTTTTTACCACCGCCGCTCAATCATTGTAGAATTTTTTTATACGTAGCTACTGTTTTGGTAGGCGTGGCGAATTACATACAACAACTCCAAAATGACAGGATTAAAAAAAAATAATAAAAAGGAAATCTTCTAATTGGAAATGACTAAAATGCCCTCTTGCTCCTTGCAGATGTACCGAAGAGGATATGGAGAAGTATGGAATTCACCTACTAGCCTTGTCCCATGTTTACTCGGTACCACAGCTAAAGCAGAAATGTACAACAGGCTTAGCAAAGAGAGTGAACGTTGAAAATGTAGTCGACGTGCTTCAGCTCGCACGATTGTGCGATGCACCTGATCTTTCCCTCAAATGCATGAAATTATTGTCCAACGATTTCAAAACCGTCGAAAAAACCGAGGGCTGGAAGTTCGTGCAGAATCACGATCCCTATCTCGAGCTCGAAATACTACAATTCATCGATGAAGCCGAAAAGGTATACATACACATACATATTTATGTAACTTAAAATCATAATATATATGTTTTGTTGAATATTATAATAATAATCTTTTTTTTTTGTCGAAAACAGAGGAAAAAGAGGGCGATGAGGCATAGGAAGGAGCAGAGTTTGTATATGCACCTAAGTGAAGCGATGGATTGTCTCGAGCATATATGTTCGGAGGGTTGTACTAGCGTGGGCCCGTATGACATGGACGTGACCAAGCATAAGGGTCCGTGTGGCAAGTTTTCGGTTTGTCAAGGAATTCAGCATTTGATTAAGCATTTCGGTGCTTGTAAGAAGAGGGTTAATGGTGGATGCTCTCGTTGTAATAGAATGTGGCAGCTTTTCAAGTTGCACTCTTCGATGTGTGATCAACCCGATGAATGCAGAGTCCCCTTGTGCAGGTAAAAAACGGAGCTTTTCTTTTAAGTTTTAGCTATTGATTCTTGATTATGAAGTTAATAGGGAAAATAATCTTGTGATTAATCGATTCGATTAGGTTCTTGATTTGCTGAGATCTGCTTGATTACATTCAATCTTTTCGTTGCGAAAAAGACATAAATTTAGCTGTCGTTGTAGGGTCGTGATTTGTTCATTTTTTTCCATGGAGTCCCCATGTGTCTGCCTTTTGTGGTGTAAAGCGTGAGATATTTGATAATTCATTAATTATGTATCTTCTAGATATTTCTAAATGTGAATAAATATACGGAAAATAGACTCGAAAATACTAAATTGTTGAGTATCTAATAATACATACATTGTTTGTGACAGGCAATTCAAGTTAAAGGCACAACAAAACCGAAGAGGAAACGATACCCGTTGGAAATTACTAGTGAGAAAGGTTGTTTCAGCTAAAGCTATGTCTTCTTTGTCTCTAACTAAGAGGGAACCGAGAATTGCAATGGATAATCGAGGCGTCAAATTATAAATCTAGCTCGAAACGGAAAATGCAGCGATTTTTTTTAGAATTCGTATTTTTTTCGGTTTAATCGAGCCGTGAAATTTGTAAAAATAGTTAAAATGTTGTGTTGAATGTTGATATTCAAGGCCATAAAAGAGAATAGGAAGCCAACTAGATGCTTGTCTTTGTCTATCTATTATATTTATTAAATTTTATTTTAAGAAATCTTTGTATTTGCAGTTGGTTGGTTATAAATTATTAATTATTATGCACAAGTTGTCATTGCAAGTGGCATAATTCACAAGAATTGAACCAATTCAACGTTTTCAAGGTTATCCATATTTTGTCACGTTATTTAATTTTGGGTAGTTGGTATTTCTTTTTTGATTTGGTCTTCAAATTGAGATTAATATAATTAATTTGAAAACTTGGAATTGAAATTAGATCGACTCCATTATCACGAGAGCTATTCATGAAAATATCTAGACGAATCAATCATATGAAATAACCATATAATTTCCATGGTTATGACTGAAAATTGGAACGAAATTTCCGATTCCCGTCAATTACGATTTGAACATTTTCAATTTTGGAACAATATTTTTCATTTCGAATTCCGAAATTCTAACTTTCAATTTTTTCGAAATTATTTGGATCAGAATTGGAATATACATGAGATTCCAATTTTTTGGATTTGATTTAAGTTCTAATTTTATCCCGAATATTACACTTAAAAGATCAATATTATTATGTATTTTACATTTCAGGTGATAAAAAATTCAAAATTTCAGAATTCCATCGATCCGGACCCGAAATTTTCCGATATTGGAACAAGTTTTTTCGTTCCAATTTCCGTTTTTTCCTAATTTTTTTGGAACAGAGTTGGAACTAGTCTTTCACTTTCGAAAAAAATCGGAATTTTTCCGAAATGGCTAATTAGTTCTTACGTAGAAAATACAGTTCTCTATAAATTAATATAGTCGGGACTAGGAAAATTCTATTAATTTAGCGAATTATTAAATTATCGAGTTATTAATTTAACATGTTTTCACCGAGTCGGGACCGAGAGAAACTATTATTTAATTAATGTTATTAACTTATCGAGGTTCTACTGTAGTAATCTTAGAAGGTCAACAATACGACGGTCAAGCAATGTTTCGTATCAATTTTAATAACCGCGTGCGTTTAAGGTTTCGAATTTGTTGAAAAATATATTCAACACTATTAATTAAAGAACCTTAAGGTTGATGTAATCTAGAAATTAACGTTTCTTCGAATAGTTGGTAAGAAGTCTTGCTTTAGCAGCGGAATATTATTTCTTCAAACACAATTACGAGCAAAAATAAAATAATATTACAAACACTAAAAAATATCACCTACACTTAAAAACAGATTACTAGCAAACCCAAATTCATAATTGATTTCCTAACTTTCCTTTTCTCTACAACTTGCTAAAAAAATATCTCGTACTCATCATGCACTAATCCCGGACTCACATAAATACATATCGAGATCTCAAACTCAACTCTTGAGTTTTACACTGCGAATTCACAATATATTTGAATTCAAGCTGTTCATATTTATTCAGTTAAAAAATAAACTTCTAAGTTCCTGAATCGAATTATGAGAGAAAAATTAGGAGAATTCATGAAAATTGTAATCCGCTTTCGTTTGACTAATAAATTTATATCTTGTCTAACAAAAAAATGAAAATAAAATCCCATTGAATATCTTACACTTGTGCATCTTTTCCCCTTAATTTGTGGAGAATGGGACCCTCTTTAATGTTGATATTTGAATGGCGTGGCAAAAGAGAAATCGTCAATTTCATCAAAGATATTATTCTAAAGATCTAAATAATCAAAATATCATATACAAAATGATTTTCTTCTCCTAATTAAATCAATTTGAATTTTGATTACTTTTCCAATCGACATAACTTGTCAATTTAATGATGACAACAAATGTAGGTGGGGGTGTCAAAATTGATTATTTTTTGGTTTCTTCGACAACATAATTCGCATGAGGGCTAAAAAGATCTTGCTAGGTAGTGGCTGCCACTATGGAATATTCCTAGTGCTTTTAGTTTTTTTTTTTCAATTTATATTTTGTGAATGATTATGATTTGTGTGTGTCACACTTTAATGTAAATGTATTAGGGAACAAAATCACACCTTAGTGGCTTACCAAGAGGGACATTGTGTGTGTAAAATATAAGTGATCGGACTTAATGGGATACTCAGAATTACGTATATGTAGGAGCAACTTCAATGGCTGAATTAAACGGAGAGTTAAATAGTCAAACACTTCTATTTTAATACTCTAAAACTCACATTGGTAGACTGGCAGTGATTTCGATATTCAACTTTCAGAAATGCCAAAATTGCCTCATACGAACAAGTTTAACTACCCAAATAACCTATCATGAATAGACATGTATCAATTTAAAAATGTATATACTTATATTTAAATTGATAACCCGTTTAAGGAATGTGGCTGGAATAATTGAGTATCAAAATAGGAAAACTAGCATCATATTACTATTTGATGATTCATTTTAATGTTTTGCCATTCAAGACTGACTCCTTTGGAAATTATATTAGTTACAAGACTTGCAGTGTCTGAAAATACGTATGTGTGTGTGTGTATTTATACTTGTGTGGTGTGCATCTAGTGATCCTGCATTGTTGTCTAAGTTCGAATCCCCTTGTCAACAGTCATTGAGTCGAGTTTGTTACACATAGTAAGCCTAATGTTGTTTACATCTCCCGTATAGTTTTCAAGTTATTATACGAGAGTGTATGTTTACCCAATGTATCTATTGTTGATTGCGAATTCTTTCGTTTTCACAAAAAAAAATGTATTTCTTGATCATGATTATGTGTGTTTCTGAATGTGCATGTATTCTTGAATGGCTTTGCCCCATCAATCTAAGCTTTCGGCGATCGTGCACAATAATTCTTACAATGTGTGGTTAAGCACTTTTTCTTTCCTTTTTTTTTGCCCCTCTTATTTATTTATTATTAAATCCTTTTATTTATGCGGTTAAGCATTTGAGGACTAGCAATTATCATAATTCTGATCACTTTACACTTGATATTTAGAAAAGTTTGACCCGTTTCATCATCATCTAAAGAGCACCCCATATCTTCTCATCTTTAATTTTTTTGATGATTTTCTTAATTGTTCATTTTGATTGAAGAAATTGAATTTGATTACATAATTTCAAAAAAGTCGATTAGATACTACAATCGAGGAAATATATCCAGTAATTCTGCACCGTTGATCTACAGATAATAACACAGACCAATATATATATGTATACTTAGTAGTAGTTATTTGTATAGATCAATGGTGGTTGATCGCCCGATATATTTTGCCAGATATAGCATCTCATAAATCGACTTCCAAATGGCATTGGATTAAATAAGATAACTTCCCTTTATCCAGATAATATGTATAAAGATAAAAGCTCATTTTCGTTTTATATATAATAACACAATATACGAATCTTCTTAGGTTGAATTTTTAAAATTGAATTTTCTTTTGTAAGACTTAGTTTGAATTGTAAAATGGGGGATTTTTTTCCTAATAATTCACTACATATTTACAACATATTTTTGGTTGAATTTGCGACCTAATCTTAGGTTGAAATACCGAGTTATATGTCACAACATATTTCCTCAGGGAAAAATAGTTTTCATCCTCAAGTTTGTATTAATTTCATATTTGGTCTTCCTTGTTCACAAAAAACACATTTGGTCCCTTATATTTCAATAATTTAACATTTTTAGTCATTTCCATCAATTTATCCTTAGTCCGTCAGTTAAGTTAGTGAAAGGCATGCTTGATTCCTTTAGTGCTATCGGAAATTTGATGAAACTAATTCAAAGTGCTGCACTTTTGAAACATGAGGAATCAAATATGTTTTTTTTGTAAACATGAATGACTAAATGTGTAATAAGTACAAACGTGAGGGACTAAAACTGTATTTTTCCCTATTTTCTTATGTATGAATATAGTCGAATAAATTCATATTGTGACAATGATACGAAATTACGAATCCGTTTTCCAATAATATAACATAATCGTAATAAAATAGGAATAAAATCAGGGATAAAATTAGTGCTTGATTAAATATAAATTAATTCATTTGATTACGTTGCTATTTATGAATCGGTATATGATCCAACATATCACAAAAAAAAATCATGCTTCATATACATCCCCATAAAATCGGCTTAATCTCATTTTTCACCCGTGAAATGGAGCATATTGGCCCTTTACACTCTTACAAAAAATTAATAGTACTTTCACCCTCAAAATACAATAAATCATTCATAATGCACCATGGATTGCATTAAAACTTAATCAGGGCATATACAAAAAATATTTTCTTATAAAATAAAATAAAATAACTTTGCTCACTAAATTATTCAGTTGATGAATAATTGGTGAAAATATTTGGTACAATTCGTTGGAAGAAATCATTATACTTTTTTAATAAAAAAATTATGATAAAAAATATAATTTTTAAATATGTTGACGAGATGCAAAGTGCTGCTAATTATTTTTAAATATAATTTTTAAAAATTCATGCAATGAGCATTACATATAACTAGCATTTTTCCCCCGTGCGATGCACGAGATATTATTTAAATAGTGAAAAAAAATAATCAAATTAATACATAATAAGAAAATATAGTACACTAATATAGTAAAATTTAATAATGCAGTGGTATTCATATTTTATATCACATTTTTTTTAAATCTTACATATTAAGATTTATAATCCAAATAAATAGACTAAGATTTAACAAATCGAATTTCTAACTTTATCTCTTAATAATTGTTGAAAATTATAGTTAAAAATTAGTACAGAGAAAATATTAAAAATAAATAATCACATAAGTAGCAATAATGTGAGATTCTTCGAGGTTAGTTTGAATTTTGATAATTGTTAAAAATTATAGTTAGAAATTAGTAGAGAAAAAATATTAAAAATAAATAATTACAGAAATACCATTAGAGTTTTTAGTGTAACACAACGTTTCTTTCTTTTATATATAAGATTTATTGTGTTTCGAGGGTGCAAAGTGCTGCTAATTATTTTCAAGGGTGCAAAGTGCGTAAATACTAGATTTCAAAGGTGCAAAGTGGAATTAAGACAAAGTCTTGGTCAACCTTAACTAAATTCATAAAAAAACTCAAGATCATGCATCTTCCCACATTTCGAGACCAAATCCAATTTCACACCGATTTTTTAATCCAAATAAATAACCATTTGCATGCCCACATTTAATTAATCTAGTACATTGTCAACTCTTCACAAATCTTGAAAACAAAAAAGAAAAAAAAAATCATTCAAAACCAGAGCAGAAGAAGCGTTCATCAAATATGGCTTCCGTTGACCAAGAAACCAGAAAGTCAACGAACCCGGCACTTGAACCGGATCTTGATGCTCCGGTGGATCCGAATCTGGAGCTGGCCCAGTTTGCAGCGGGTTGCTTTTGGGGGGTGGAGTTGACTTTTCAGAGATTGGAGGGTGTGGTGAAGACTGAAGTGGGCTACTCACAGGGCAATATCCATGACCCGAATTACGAATTGGTATGCACCGGATCCACTAACCATGCTGAAGTGATCCGGATCCATTTCGACCCGATTGTTTGCCCGTATACAACTTTGCTTGATGTCTTCTGGGGAAAACATGATCCCACTACCCTCAATCGCCAGGTATATATCCGAGGTTTAATTTTTTTTTTAAATTTTTATTTATAAATAAAAAATAGGTAAGGGCAAATTGCACATCACCCCCTGTAAATTTCTATTTTTTTGTACTTTACACTCTCAAATTTTTTAAAAGTGAATGTTCCCCTTCAAAATGTTATTCTTGCTGCATATTACCTGACAACAAAATTCTGATAGATTATTCATTGGAAATTGGAATTGAGTATTTTTGTTGCACGTTGCCCCTTAAAAATGTTATTTTTTTGCACATCGCTCCTTAAAAACATTACTATTTTACACGTTGCTCCTCGTAAATGTTATTCTTGTTGCACGCTACCCTCCAAAAATTAACTTATGGGACAAAGTGCAATCAAAATAATATTTTGCAAGGGAGTATCTTTTTTTGAATTTTTAGGGGGGAAAGTGCAACATGGAAAATTTATAGGGGGTTAATTGCATTTTATTCTTTAGGTAATGTGGATTTACAATTTTGTTTTTTTTAATGTTGGTTAAATTGTTAAACTATTCCACTAAAAAAAATCAATAATGTTATTCAGAAAACCATTTATTGTATTTGAATTAGACAATTCGAATTCAAAAAATAATTCGACTTCAAAAAATAATGTTATTAGTACCTTTTGTTAAATTGTGACAGGGAAACGATGTCGGGACACAATATAGGTCCGGAATATACTATTACAACGAGACACAAGCTAAACTAGCTCGAGAATCGTTGGAAGCAAAGCAGAAAGAAATCAATAATAATAATAAAATTGTGACAGAAATTCTTCGAGCAAAGACATTTTATAGAGCAGAAGAGTACCACCAGCAGTATTTGGAGAAGGGTGGAGGAAACGGTTCGAAGCAGTCGGCTTCTAAGGGCTGCAACGACCCAATCCGATGCTACGGTTAATTTGGTAGCTAAAAAATGTTTTAATTGGTTTAATTTCAATAACGAATGTATTATTGCTATGAATGTTTTAATAATTTTGGATTATGTTGATTTAGTATCCAAACATTATAAGTTTGTCATTGCTATTGTGAGAGAGAAATATTATTTTGTTTCGTTAATATTTTTGTAATTTACTTATTTGTCATATGGAAATAAATGTATTTGATTACTCTTATTTCTTTTATCTATCTGTCTCCGAGCTTTACTATTTATTTTATTTTATGAATAAATAAATCAATTACTTTTTTAATAAAAAAAAATTATTTTAATTCTTAAATGGCTGAATCATTTTATTTTTGATAGGATAGTCGAATTATTTCCGCCGATTCCCATCCAATTATTTTTCTATTTTGGAACATTATTTTTCATTCCAAATTCTGAATATCAGATTCAATTTTTTTTGGATCAGAATTGAAATATATATAACATTCCGATTTACCATCCAATTTTAATTTTCGAGAATAGTTCCAAATTTCTGATTTTTTCCAAAATTACTCTTATAATATCAATATTATTACACATTTTAGATTTGAAGAGCCAAAAAATTGAAATTTTCTGTTTCGTGTTTATTTATACGTTTGAACTTACTTCTTATTTCGATCCGATCCGTCCAATTCACTCCTATGTTTGAATTTACTTCAATCATTCTTTTATTATTTATTTCATCAGTTTTATATCATACTATAGATATATTCTATTTATGAATAATAAAAATAAAAAATCTTTATTGAAGTGTTTCTAAATATTTATTTTAATATAATTAATTAGTAAGTTTGACTTCCGAACAATTTTTATTCCCTTTTTCAATCAATAAGAAAGAGAATATCATCCGTACGTGATGAAAGAATTAATATAATTCTCCTAATCAATTTACGTGCAAATTGCATAAATATGAGTACATTTTGATGTTTTCTTGCATTCTTTATCGAGCTAATCAATTTTTATTGAATAAGAATAATCGGATTACATAGTAACTCCTTTTTAATTATCTATATTTACACTTACCGAGTTATATAAGAATCTTTAATTTAAAAAGTATGTTCATTTGACTTTTGAATAGATTGTTTCTTGGATACCGAAACCTCAATTTCTTTTGAAAGAACTAAAAAAATTGATTTGGCAATTTGCATCTTTATAAAAGTGCAACTAAAAATATAAAAATTGCCGCATTAATTGTTTTAAAAAGTAATTCGTGGTGGTATTGTTCATGATTTATTGTATTTCGATACTACAAAGTGCTCTTAAATTTTTTTAAGTGTGTAAGGTGTCAAAATACTACATTTCAGGGGTGCAAAGTGGAATTAATCCCTATGAATATATATATTGAGTTTAATGATTTGGTAATGATTGAAATATATATTCGATGATTATTTGTTAAGTTTTGCGATATTTATATGGAATCAATTCTGATTTTATATAAATTATTGTTTAAATACGTAAATAATGTATAATAGACTACATCATTACTATTACTATTACAATTACAATTACTATTACTATGATTATTAAAATTACAATTACTATTACTATTACTTTTACTATTTGTATTAGCACATTATTAGTATTAGTATTAGTAGTAGTATTAGTATAAGTATTAGTATTAATATTAATATAAGTATCAGTATTATTATCAGTATTAGTATCAATATAGATATCCGTGTTAGTGTAAGTGTTTTAGTGTTAGTGTTAGTGTTAGTGTTAGTGTTAGTGTTAGTGTTAGTGTTAGTGTTAGTATTGATATTAATATTGGTATTACTATTAATATTGGTATTAGTATTGATAGTGGTATTGACATTGATATTCGGTATGGTTATTCGTATTAATATTAGCATTCGTATTGGTATTAGTATTAGTATTACTATTAGTATTGATATTAGTATTAATATTAATATTAATATTATATTAGTATTAGAGGTGGCATGAACTATTAAACGTCGCAATGTGGAGTGTTAAGAGTAGAGGTGGCATAAAAATATTCATCAAGCCAGAATATGCAACTAATATTACTTGCAATGTTGTCTACAAGAAAGTTTTTCAGGGAATGTGACTGTACATCATAAAAATCGTATATTGTGATTCAAATACGCATTTGTTGTTTGTATTATTGATATATATATAATTATTTTGCCGTGTTAAGTTTATTTGCATTTTATGCCATTTTTATTGTCGACTCCACTTAATTTTTTTTTAAATCAAGGTAATTTAGTATAAATTGTATTTATTTCTTATACTTTTAGGTGATTTGTGTTTCAGTAATGTGTATCATTGGTTACATTTGAACAATGAAAAATGTACATGTTACTCGCACGATATTAGATGAGTTACTGACGATGTCAATGCATATGCCGTAAAACACTACTTTGATAATTAAGTTTCATGTTAAGGATTCGAGTGTATTGCACGAGAGAGTTGTACCATTCAGGTCAGATAATGTATCTTATTTTTTATATCACATTTTTTGTATTTGATATTTTCTTTTATCATTTATTTTGTTTATATTCGTATTTAAATCAAATGGAATTGATATTATTTTTAAATTTTAAGATTATATCGTATTATATATTAACTGTTCAAAGTTTTTGTTCGATTATTTTATTAATTTAAAACCTATTTTTATTTTTTATATTTACTCGTGCATCGCATTAGAATCCTCTTTTCATTAACAAAAGTGTTTGATTTACATCATCAACGTGTTTTAATCTTTAAAAAAATTAAAATTAGAATTAACCACGTGTATCGCACGGATGAGTTACTAGTTATATTCTATATAAAGATGGAAGTCAATTCATAAATTAAATCCATGCATTGTTCAATGTGTGTATATAAATTGGGTAGCTCCAATCCAATATATGCATTCATTCACTCATCACCAATTCTCTTAATTAGCAACAACATTATGAAAGTAATAAAAAGGATGTTAGGATTGGTTTAGTGGTAACTAACTAACTAACTCGTCTTTAATTTGTTTCATTTATTAATTAGTGAGTGTTAAATAAATTTTAATGAATATTTTTTTTTCTTCCTTCCTTCTTCTAATTTGATTAATTAATTACAGGTAGTTGTTGGGTTTGCGTCTATTGCGGCTGTCGAAGGCATAAATTACATTTGAAATAAAAGATTGATCTCACTGTCTACCCAAGAATTGGTGGACTGTGATACGGGAAACAAACATTGCGATGGAGGATATGCAACCTTAGCATTTCAGTATATCATGGAAAATGGGATCACAACCGATAATAATTACCCGTACTAAGACAAATACGAAAACTTTTGTCAAATCAAAAAGGTATACTTATATATTTTTAGTGATTCAATATTGTAGTACTTAATGTTTTTATAATTAACTTATTCTTGAATTTCTATATATTGCAGAAAAATAATACCACGGTGCGGATAAACGGCTACGGTCAAGTTCCTCGCGACCGTGAAGATCTGCCGATGAAAAGTGTCGCTAGAGAACCAGTGACAGTAGATAATTACTCATGTAATAATTAATTAAAGATTTTGTGTTATCACTTATAAGTGGTATGTTATTTCTATTATTGTTACTGTGTCAATTTTGCAAATTTCTAAATACTGCACAACAATTTCACATGAAGTTTAATTTGCCAAGAAAACTAGTGACTCACCCGTGCGATGCACGGGGATTAATTTAAAGTTCAATTGCTTTAATGTCTAAAACACGTCGATGATGTAAATCGAACATTTTTATGAATGGAACACAATTATAAAGTAGGCTATTTAATATTGGTGCATAATCTTATATATAAAAGAAAGAAACGCTATGGCAACCCTAAGAAACCCTAATGGTATTTTTATAATTATTTATTTTAAATATTTTTTCTTTTAATTTTTTAACTATATTTTTCACCAATTATGAAAATCGACACTGAACCGTGAAGAATCCTTCCGACTTCAATCTCCTATTTTTCATAAATATATCTCAAATCTTAAGAGATAAAAATAGAAATTCGATTTGTTAAATCTTAACTTATTTGTTTGGAATTTGGATTATAAATTTTACTACTTACAAAACTAATGTTATATAAAATATGAATAATACTACTTTCTTAAATTTTACTATGTTAATGTATTATATTTATTCTATTATATATTAAATTGATTTTTTTTTCACTTTTAAAATACGATCCCGTGCATCGCACAGGAGAAAAAAATGCTAGTTTAGCTAATTTAAAGAACCAGAGAGTGGTTCAAAATAGTTGCATTAAGACTGATTTGCCCTTTTCTAATAATATAACATAATCGCAATAAAATCGGACTACCGTGCTACGTCCTCCGAGTTTTCTTTAAGAATATTTCATGTTAGTGAAAAATACATTCATTATTATTTTCTAGTTGTATAATAATTATTATTATTATTATTATTATTATTATTATTATTATTTAATTATTTTTTATTATTATTCTTATTATTATTATTATTATTATTATTATTATATTATTATTATTATTATTATTATTATTATTATTATTGTTGTTGTTGGTTTTGGGTTCTTTTATTAAAAAAAAAAATGAAGGTTCAACCAATGGGCGCCACATCATCCCGACTTGGCAATTCAGCTTCATTCTCCCAATTACTAATGGCCATGTGGCGACCCATGACCGAATCATGGCTTTCTGAAATTGGGCCCCGTATTTCAAGGGCCCGGTCAGCTCCCCAAAATTCCATCTCCTTTCTTGAATATAACCCATATCTTAGGCCCACTGGTTGTATATAAAATAAGCCCTCATTTAAATTCAATATATGGAAGAGTTCATAATTGATTTCTGGCCCAATTGTACTTTTATTTGTGGAAATCACAACCACCTCCTGGAGTATGGTTAAATTACCAAAAAACCCCTCATGTTTGGATAATTACAACTATCCCCTCAACAATGAATATTCTTACACGTTCACCCTTATGGTGAAATTATACATAATCTTCTAGATTCGGTGGAATGTTATCTAGTTTGTACTCGTTTTGTGCCAAAAATGCTAATTTTATTGCACCACAATCTAATATATGTACACAAGCCAAAAAACACATTTTATGACCATATTGCTTCAAAATGTGGAGCTCGAATGGGATGAAACGAGTATAAAATTGAGAATGTTCCATATAACCGAGTAGATTCCACAAAATTTGACACCGCAAGGGTCGACTGTAAGAAGATTTATAATT